TTTTAGATAATGATAAATGGTGTGAAATTATAAATGGTTATAAATATTACAGCTTAAGAGTTCTGTCATTACTGTTTTTCAAGATGATACAAGGGTTTTAATTTTATATATTCCATTAATTTATCAATGAAATAATAAATGCTAAATTTTACAACAATTTAAAATTCTCTGTGTATTTACTGATGTTTTATTTTCTATCCACAATTTCCCTTTTTTTTTAGTCATTTATTTCAATCCTTAAACGTTTAAAACATTTGGTGTTTGGTAAAGCCAGGGTCAAGGTTATTACTGACACATGAAAGAGCACTGTTGAGAAGGGAAAACAAATTGAAGTTTAGCTGCACTGTGGGATAGCTGTATCAGTTAGAAATAGGTATTTTTTATGTGAAAGAGGCTGCATCTGCAGAAGAGAAGATAAACAATATCATAAAATATTTGTCACTGCTTCTTTTTAATGCAGATGTTTAGGCAGTTGCTATTGTAGTTGTTCTGCCCCTCCCAAACATACCAGACTCCATCCTCTTCATAATCTCCATCTGACATAGGTATAAGCAACAATGAAAACAATGCTCAAATTGCAGCCATTAAGTTTGAAGTTACAATTGAAGAGAATATAGATAGCTCAGGATTGAACTGTGGAGTCCTTGGTGCATCAAGGACTGCAAAGTTTGAACTTAGCTTGAAGTTATTGTTTAATGAAATGTGGAAGTTCTATACTGTTTGGAAAAAAACAGATTCAAATTTTCCAATGAGTAACAGCCACCAATCTCTTATTTTTCTTTACTTCTCAAAGAAAAATGACTGTAATAACCTGGTTCTAATTTTATTGGTTAGGAATTCTTTTTTGATATGATGTTTATGTTCTACTTTATTTTTGCTGCATAATTTGATGACTATCAGCCTGCTAGCTGCCCAGAGTTGTTGAGAGTTGGGCATCATATAAGTTTAATTATAGTGGAGAAAATAAATCTAATAAACAGAATGGAGACTGCACCCCTTGTCTTCTCCTCCCATGTTTACGACATGACCATGGTCAAATCTTTGACCTCAAGCTCAAATCTTCATATCTTTGCCTAATCTTATTAGACCCAAATTAACCCTTCTGCTCCCCCACCCGCAACAAATCCCCTCTAAATCTCATATAAGGCAAAGAATAGAAGCCTCCTCACCAGTAAATAGTAAACTCCAAGGGCAGCTCTTACAAGGGAATGGCAACCTAGAAAAACCCCAATACTGTATTCCAATCTCAATCAGCCTGATGACCTCAGCATTCTATCTCCTTTAATAAGAAACTTCCCCAACTTGATGTTCTCTGAAAAGTCCCATTTTGCCTAACAATAGGTATATCTATTATTTACACACACAGAGACCAAGGAACTGCTCAGTTTTCCCTACAGTGCCAGCCAATCAGATCCCTAGGAATTCACACCTTGTAGCCCACAATGTCTTGCCTGTTATAAATTGCTTTCTATAGATTAAAGTGTCAGGTGTACAGTTTCTAATACTAGTTATAGGGCATGTGCACTTTTTGTTTTTGTGAACAAAAAGTTGGCTACCTCTGGGTAGGACAGAGTGTTTGGAAATAAGGTTCTTCTCTGGAAGCACTCAGCCCTTTGACTATTCTACAAACATGAAAACACAAATCTAGAATTAAATTCAACACATACAGTACACACATCAAACTACATGTTTTGTAGTTTTAGCACCTAATGAAATTAACATGAAATTTAAAAATCCAGTGGAAATGAAATATACAAACCACAGGAACATGGCATCTTTTAAAATTTCAGGAGAATAGAGCAATTTTAATCTGATACCAAAAATACTCTAATACCGATATCACATAGAATTCTCCGAGAAAAAGTTTCCATGCTGGAGGATCTGGATATTAGTAAGCAAGCCATCTTTCCCTCTCGTTGCTACTATCCACATTTCTGATAAGACTTTTGCAGATAAAGATAACCAAAAGTATTCTTAGCAGCCCAGCATCCATGATTCTTTTGAGGGATAAATTATATGTAAATTTATAAATGATAATTATGAAATTGGTATATAAGTGAGACTGAAGCTCTGTGAGATTCCTCTTCCTTTTCAAAGCTCTTCCAGTCAAGCTAAGGCTGAATAGCAAATTCATACAAAAATTGCTTTATAAGAACAAAATACCATCCTCAAAATATAAATAAAACGGGCTGAATCACCTGAGGTCTACAAACCTGCAAATGTATTGTATTCATTTAGCATGTTTATATAGCTGCTTGTCTCACCAAGAAATTGTTCCTCTCTGATCAGTTGTTAATAACTGGTGACATGATTTTCTACCAGTAAATAAAAAACAGCCCAAAATGGGACACATGCCATAAAATAGGTTTAATGTGGTTAAAAATAAATTTCTGCCAGCAAAACACAGAAAATTTTGGCCCATCCATGTGTGTGTCACCTTATCCATTTTGCATTATTATTCCACTAACTGCAATTCTTATTTTTCCAAAATAAATGGAATGGAAGATTGCCTTTGCTAAAATGTTCTGCTGAATGTTAACTCCTTAATATTTTACCACAAAAATTTTATTATCTTCCAAACATCCCGATGCTTACTTCAATTGATGTTTTTTTAAAAAAATCTTCCACATCTCTCCCCCCCCCCAAAAAAAAGTCCATTGGAGTTGGGTGGCTAATACACTTACGATAATCATAATTATAAAATGCCGATGATTCCAAGTTAAATAATATTCTTTGTAGATAGTGGTACATATGGTATTTTTATGGGACTATTCTGCATGGGCAGTTGTAATGCATGCATCTACATTAACAAGGTTGCTGCTAAATGACCATACAGTACTTAGCTGTGAAAGCCCTCACTGCATTCCTGAAACACTGCTCAGTAAGTGATGCAAGCCAGATAGAGGATTACCAGGCATTTCCTTGCCAGCCCAACTGCAGAAGGATTCAAGCAACATGGCAGGTTTTTTTTTAATAGCACTTAAAAGAAGCTAAGAAAGTTATTCTAACTTTTACTATCTGTAGGTGAAATGTGAGTGCATAATCCATACAATTTAACCATGTTTACATTCAGAATGCACCACAGCTCTAGTTTGAAATAGCCCTTTGGACTGAAGCTTTGTGTACACAACTACCAGGAAAAACACAACAGCTGTATACAGTACAGGGGAAAACCCAATAAGAGACTCTTGTAGCACCCAAAATATTTCTTTTTCATCTTTCAAGTGCCACCTGAATCTTTGTTATGTCAGATTCAGACATTAATAGAAATGTTTCGTGCTCTACACAGCACATTCCATTGAAATTCAACTTTTACATTAAAGAGTTTTGTTCCTGTTTTACATGTTCTTGTTCCTGCATTACACGTGCATCTGGAAATATGTCCCATTGAACCTAAAAGGGTTTCCCCCCCGAAAAGTGATCATTATAGATTATTGCATTAATTTGTTGCCTTTATGAATTTGGCATTTTTTTCGGATTTTTATTTTGACTGCCTTATCCATTGTCGGGATTCTTAAAAAGGCCTCTAGTACAGTGGTTCTCAACCTTTTTAATGCCGCGACCCCAACCGGTCGTAAGTCGAGGACTAAACCGGTCGTAAGTCGAGGACTAAACCGGTCGTAAGTCGAGGACTACCCAACCGGTCGTAAGTCGAGGACTTTCCCTGCACGGGAGTGCCGCACATGCGTGGTTCCGCCCCCTGCACCGCCCCCTGGCAAGCGGCAGAGACGGAGCAGGCCGACCACCAGCTGGCCCAGCCCAAGGGAGGTAAGGCACCTGCCGGAAAAGGGGAAAAAATGGCGGACAAAAAAAATGGCGGACAGCCTTCCTTGGCGACCCCCATGAAATGGTCGATCGACCCCAAATGGGGTCCCGACCCACAGTTGAGAACCACTGCTCTAGTAGAAGATGGGGGCGGACCCTACGCAATCTGCGGGGTTTGTTTCCGTGATCCCAGGTAACTAAGTCATTCAATAAATCCTAACTCAGGTAGACATAGGTTGATGAAATGCACAATGTTACTGAAGAGCCGTATAAAATATTTTTTAAAAAAAATTAGGATGTCTTTCAGTTTGGAGACATTTAAATACAGCATATCAGAATATATTTTAAACAATTTTCTCTTGCCCAAATGAACGAATAAGCCATTCAAGGTTTAGGGGACAGAGTGTAGATGTCGGGCGTCACCGAATCCTGCCTTTTCCTCGGCGAGGATCATGGGAGTTGAAGTCCAAAACAATTGTAGAACTCCGGGCTAGGAAGGCTACGCTGTTTTCCATCCCTCCAGCTATTCTTTCTCACTACTACGGACTCTCTGGCCTCGTCGGAAGCTCTCCAAATTACGACGCTCGAGAATAAGAAAAGGCGCTCGGCTTTGAAGTGGCTTCCGCCGCGCTTATACAAGGGACAAGAACTGGCGCGTGTGAAGAAGGAGGCCCGAGCACTGCTGGGCTGTCTCCTCGTCTTGCCCACCGCCACACCTTTAGGCGGGAATGCTGGCGGCGGAAAGCCCGTCGCGCGTGTCGGTTCCCACCCGGGGTTTGTAACCGCGTAGGCGTCTTCAGGGCCACGAGTCGGCCGTTGGGGTAGTCCGGCACGTGCCTCCTTTTGTTTTTCAAATATCGCTCGGCGCTTTTGTCTTTCCCCGCGATGAACCAGCCGGAGGTGGAGAAAGAGGGAGGACGCAACTGAGTGGTTGTTACGAGCAACCATTCCCTCTGTGCCTTTTTTCTTTTCCTCCGCCCTCCTCAACCCCCAGGCTGTTTCTTTCTTTTTTTTTGGGTTATTATAATTTCCCTCCCCTTCCTTCATTCACTACAGTCGACTCCAGAGTGAGAGGCGGAGTCACCACGAGTACCCGCGGGAGCGGTTGTAAGAGCGCAACGCCGAGGGCGCCTGCTGTGAGCTTTTCGGCGCTGCCACAACAGCTCCGCGCCCGGCAGGTCCCGCTTCGCTTCGCTTCCCAACTCCGGGTCATCTTCAGTGTCCCTTTTCTTTCCCTCTCTTCTTTTCTACACCGGCTGTAGTAGAAATATCCCCGGACACGAGCTAGGTGAGTAGCCGATGACGCCCTGGCAAGGTTTCCATGCTCTCTGCCCTTCCTTTCTCCTCTACCGTCTCCTGAGCCGGGTGGCTTTCAGCCTTGCCGAGATGCCCTGAATGAGAGATCGCGGGGGGGGGGGGGGCGAGGAGGCAGACCAGGCTAAAGAGAAAGCCGCGACGACATTCGGACCGCCCCGCTTTCTCCGTGAGCCGGGGTCGCTAGACGGAGAACTCTTCATCCGTGGCTCCGGACGAATTTCCCCCGAGCCGGTTGCACCGAGCGACGTGTGCTTCGGCGCTCAGCTGCACGCCAGGCTGGGAGTCCATTTTGCAAGCAGCGTGGTGCATGATGCAATGTTTATAGCGATAGGCGATGTGGAGGAGGACGGAAGCATGCGCCCTGCCTAGGTAGTAGATCGGAGCACGCGGGCTAGCGACCGGATTGGATCGGCTTTCCGTTTTTCCTCTTCTCCCGACCTTCCTAGGGCGCTTTCCAGGCTCAGATCGTAGGCGCCGAGCGGCTAAGCTAATTGGGTTTAAGGGATGACACACGTCCTTCCTTAAATGGTCCTTTTTTCGGATCATGCAATGGCGGGGGTGGGTGGGGGGACGATTCTTTAAAGTGACTCATCACTTAAAATCCAACAACTGGACAGTTTCACCCTTAATTTGATTTGGGTTGGTTTCGGTTCGGGATATTCCCCCTGATGCAATTGTAACCCACGAAGTAAATAAGATGGTTCTGCGTTTATTTATGGTAACGAAACTTGTGTTTGCCTTAGTAATCTATGGAAAGAATATAGGGTGGTTGCTCAGTGTATCGTTAATGGTTGTTTTATGAATCGGGGTTTTTTTTTCCCTGCCTCCTTCCTCTTGTGAACTGGACACAAACAATCGCTCTCAAACAGTATATATTTTCTAGGCAAATTACACATAAAGTTCCAAAACTGGTTTCAGTGTCGTGTCTCCTGCAGTGGAAATTTTGACTTTGAAAGGAATGATGACTCCTTTGCTTAAGTTTGCCCTGGAAGTTATATTGTTATAATATAAAGAGATTGTCTCCCTGCTCCCCATCACTCTAAATAGCTGCCAACATAAACACAATAACTATCAAGAAAAATACCATCCTGTCTCTTTCTTAAGATGAGGGTGAACAGTCTATGCCCCCATCTTTTCTGTTCCCTGACCATACTGTGAGTTGAGTTTAATTTTTATTAAATGATTTTGTACAGTAATAAAACTGCAGATTTAAAGAAAAAGAATAAATAAAAATACAGAACAAATGAATAAACAGAAAAAGTAAACAAAAGAGAAGAAAGAAAAAGAGAACACATATAAAGATTCTGTTTCTGATCTTTATACAGTTACAAATAAGATTGTCATCTATCTTCCCTCTTTTAAGGTTACATGATAATTCCCTTTCCAGTATTATCCTTTTTACTCATCAAATCTATGTCACCAGTTCATTTTTTCCATTTTCAGTAAAAAGTCCATAAAGGATATCCAATCACTAATAAATGTACTTGTTGTCTTCTCTCCATTCAATAAGTTAATTTTACATATTTGCAAATACTATGATGTTTATTAACTGTTCCTCCATTGTGGGTATTTCAGAATCTTTCCATCTTTGTGTCTATAGCAGTCTCGCTACAGCTACCATGTACAAAAGTCCATGAGACTTCATGCTGTATTTTAATATAGTGGTTACCTACCATTTTGTGGCATGCAATAGATTGAAATGCTCAGGTAAGACCTAAAGCTTCACCCAGGTTTTAAAAAAATCAGAAGAGCATTGTCACTGGGCAGGAGATACCAAGGACTGATGTTAGGTGTTCTGCAACCAAGAATTTCAACAGTGATCATTGTCCTGGTGACCCTCCATTGATTCTGGCTACGTGAACCACATTTGGACATGAAAACATGTTTCCACCTTTGTGGGGACTGATCTTTAATGAACCATGTGTGAGTACTTAGGTTCCAAATGACTTATAGCTGATTGTAGACTGTCCAGTCTTTCTAGATTTTGTCCAGGCTGGATGATTGGCTAATAATTCATTATTATTTTTTTGTAATGGGGAGAGGAAATTAAAATTCTCTGAAGGTTGGAGCTATTAAAGTTATAGGAGAGGAAAGGTTTGGTTTCACTCACTTCCTGTTCCCCTTGGGTGGAGGGTGTGGTGGAAGAAAAAAAGGTAGAAGAGAGGGTATGCCAGAAGAGTGCCATGTTGAAACTGCTGTACCATCCTGACTCTTTGAAGATTGGCAGAGTGTATTTCTAAGTAATCTTCTTCTCTGGGTGTAGAAGAACCAGGGAACTAAAAGTAACCTGAGTTATGGTGAGGGAACTGTATGCCACTCAAAGTTAGTTTATGATTAGAGCAGTCTGTAAGCTGTATAAAATCAAACCAAGTGGGTAATTCAACTGCAAACTGATTGTAAGCTTTTCTGGTTAGCCATGAACAATTTATTTTGCACAAATCCAAACATTGCACACATTGTTAGTTGAAAGTAGTTTGGTTTACTGTTTTGGCTCCCTTAGAAGTCATCATTTGTCTGATTTGCACACAACAGCCTGCAATCTATTTTTAGGACTTTAAAATCTTTTTTTAATGTATGATAGGAAGATAGAAATGTGCAACGCAAACAGGTAACAACAGGTTATGTATACTATGTCTGAACCCTGCCAGTGAAATGAACTGACATTAAAGTTTTGTCATTCCTTGATTGACTTTATTTGATTCTGAAACTGAAGAAAATAAAAAGGTAAGTAAGGTTAAATAAATAAAGAATGAAACTAACACATGTGTGAACTGGAACAAATGAATGCAGACTTTGATGCTTTTACTTCTGCAATTATGGTTTTGTAATTATGGTGTAATTATCTGAAAATAAGCTCTCGGCTTTGTTTAAGCTTGCCTTTTGAAGTATTTTGTCTATTGTTAGGGCTAATTCATGCTTTTTCTCATTTATGGAATTAATGTACAGTAGTACATTGTAGTTTTCACTGCAATCTTATTGATCTCCAAGGTTCATATAAAGCATAGACTATGATGCACAATTGCTGCAACAGTCATCTACTGAGGTATAGTGATCATATCTAAAGGTGAGCTTCCTGTTACTATTGAAAAATATATGCTGTCTACAGAGGAATAATCAGACTTTCATTTATTTGGTGTTAATATGGATCTGTTCTCAGGTAGAAGGTGTCAGAAGAAAAGTAAAAAAATAAAACAGAAAAATTGGGTGATACTTTGGCAATATGCACACACAAGCATGCAGCTACATTAGAATTTTTAGAATGCTTTGGTAGGAGAAACAGCATTGCTGCTTCCTAAACTTTGATGCCCTAGGCCAGGACCTTTGCCTAAAGCTGGTCCTGAACAGCTGTTATGACATACAGTCACACTTTCAATATTCCAGTATAAAAAGTTCCCTTTCTGTTTGGACAGAATGAACTGTGACAAGATAAATTGAAGTTTTAGTTTTCATTTTCTTTGTAATTAGCTTCTTAGCATTTTATGAAAGTGATTTTTTCAATACATAATTAGGTACCCACAATAGTTCTTGCTATATAAAACTGCATGAATGCAACCTATTGCAATTTGCTATCCTATTCTACTTATCTATTTTTCATTATGCCTTCATTCCCTTGAGAACTGCTTTCTTTCTTTATGGAAATCACTGGTATGCCTTCTTAATAAGTAAAAAATAGAAAATAGGATATATCTTCTTATCACGTACTATAATTCGTAGCATTAATGCTCCTATATATAGTGAACTTGTTTTATTGGATATGGAGTTGTAGTTACAAATTTGTATCCTTTGGAAATGATCCTAGCCATGTGCTGTCCTGGCCATATAGTGACTTCATGCCCTTTATTAGCTTTAGCACAGATATCAGTTGTGATGTTCTTTGGTAGGATCCTGTTTAGACTACGGTAGTATATTGCAAGACATATGGTCCAAAATAGGTTATTTAAATTACCAACTGAGCAGTTTCTACTATAACAGGTATATACTTCATCAACTTTACTAGCATCCAGTCCGTTTCCACACTCTTTTAAGTGCTAGTTTTAACTTGTACTGGTATGCAAAATGTAGCATATTAAAAATGGGTGCCAAGCTGGGTTTTGGCCTGTCTTTGTGAGAGGCTTTAAGATTCACCAATATCTTTTATCTAAGGATTTATATATGCCAATTTGAAGATATCCTTTTATGTTAACTAATGATGTGATGAATTGGCAGGTAGGTATTTGTAGTTATCAACTGTTCCATAGAAATAATGTTTCATTTAACCAACAAACATCAGTTTCACCAGAAGAAAAGCATAATTCCCTTTTATTAAATTCTGTGGTTTTTTTGATTGTAGAGCAGATTTGAAAGGTTAACAGCTTGTTTAACAGATTTGGAAGTTTAACAGAATTCTCACAAAATGACTAGTAAGGATAATGTGATCAAGCATAAACATTAAAGCAGATCCTACACCTTGTTTTCTTAACTAAAGCTGTCTACCAGTTTGGTTTGCTTTTGTCTTTTTACTAGACAGATGGGCATACTTACAAACAAAGCTGTGGGCCTCAGCCATTGACTTTAAGAAAATGATTTCCCAATAGGAACTCCCAATAGCATCTAAAACATGCTACCTTTCCATTAAAAAAAAATCTAGAAAAAGTACTAGATCAGGTCTGAAGCCTGGCGAGCATCAAGGGAGGTGTCATATCGAAATCATACTAGTTAGTCAATAGATTTCATCTAAAGTTTGTGCCGGGTAGACCAAGCAAAATATACTGTTTAGACATTTTAGTCTAGTTTAATGTGACTACAATCAAGCTTGCACTCTGGTACTATGTACCCGGACAATCATCTTTGCTCTGAACTTTCAGTGTTTGTAGCTGCAGACAGTAGTCGGCAGTCTTCCCTAATCTCCTGTCTTCCAGATATGCTTGGAGTTTCCAGAACTCCTGAGAATTCTGTACTGTATTTCAGGGAGCAATTATAGTGGAGATAGTG